ACAGAACCCCTCCACGCACACACAGAACCACTTCATGCTCACAGAACCCCTCCACACACACACACAGAACCCCTCCACGCTCACAGAACCCCTCCACGCACACACAGAACCACTTCATGCTCACAGAACCCCTCCACATACACACAGAACCCCTTCATGCTCACAGAACCCTTCACACACAAACAGAACCTTTTCACGCACACAGAACCCTTTCACACACACACAGAACCCCTTCATGCTCACAGAACCCCTCCAAACACACACAGAACCCCTCCACGCTCACAGAACCCCTACACCCACACACAGAACCCCTTCACGCACACAGAACCCATTCACACTCACAGAACCCCTCCACACGTACACAGAACCCCTTCACGCTCACAGAACCCATTCACACTCACAGAACCCCTCCACACGTACACAGAACCCCTTCACGCTCACAGAACCCCTTCACACACACACAGAACCCCTTCACGCACACAGAACCCCTTCATGCTCACAGAACCCCTCCACATGCACACAGAACCCCTTCACGCTCACAGAACCCCTTCACACACACACAGAACCCCTTCACGCACACAGAGCCCCTTCATGCTCACAGAACCCCTCCACATGCACACAGAACCCCTTCACGCTCACAGAACCCCTCCACACACATAGAACCCCTTCACGCACACAGAACCCCTTCACGCACGCAGAAACCCTCCACAGAAAATTCCATCCCTATGCCCCCTCCCAACCTTCCGCTAATGGGTGTCCCATTTTTATATTTTCAAAATCTGGTCACCATAGACACATGGAATGTTGGGAGGGGGCATAGGGACACATGGAGGGCTGGGAGAGCTATAGGGACACATGGAGAACTGGGAGAGAGAGCTAATAGGACACATGAAGGGCTGGGGGGCTACATGGTACACATGTGGGGGCTACTGGATTATATGCAAATGCAGGTTTGCTTACAATAAATCTGCTCTGCTTTATTTTGAAGCTCTGTGAGTGCTTTCTTTCATGTTTGAGAGCTAGTTTTCAGTTTTCATTTTTTTTCCCGCTTCCATATCTGCACACTATGCTGGCGCGATGCATTACGGGGCTGGGATGGAATTTTTTTCCAGGGCTGCTTTTCATTCCCAGTCCGGCCCTGCAGGTGGGTGGTAGGGATTTCGGCAGCTAAATCCTCTTTTTGAGAGGATTTCTCCTTTTTAGAGTGGGAGGTCGCCAGCGGCTTGGGGGTGCAAGATTTTAGTGGCCAGCAGGAGGGAAGAGTTCTAATAATATTAACAATTTGTGTGTCTCTAAGTGTATTTGTGATGTTTTGTACAAATCAGCCAATAATTCCTGTATAATGAAGTACTCACTTTATTAATACATACATAGCAGGATCTTCATATTGCTGCCTTGTTACACAGGGTTTCTGCAGCCACCATTTCAAATCCCTTTCAAATCCCTCGAACATTCCACCAACCGCCAACAGGAACAGGAAGTAAAAAGCCACAAGAAAGGAAGTGCATCATTCACAGCCAACAACAGCCCAACTGCCCAATGCCCATACATCACAATACATACACTCATACACTCACACACTCATCCACAGCCCAACCGCCCATACATCACATCTCCTTCCTTTCTCAACAAAAGAAAGAAAACAAAACAAAATAGTAAAACGTCAACATGAATAAATGAACAATTTAAAAATGTGTCCTTAATCTGCATCATTCTGTCCATCATCTTCAAGATCTACAATCTTTTTTTCAGGACAGCTAATTCTACTCCTACTAGGATACAATTTCCGCCTTCTCACTGTGGAGTTTCTCCGACTATAGTCCCTTAACGGTCCTTCTGGTTGCCAGCGGTTTGTGGCCCTTCTCTCTCTTGTTGAATGGACAGTATTTTCATGACCACAGCCTTCATGGTTACTTGAACTGTGGCTTGGCAGTTCTTGCTCCAGAGTTTCGAGGGGTATTTCCTCCAAATCATCCCCTATTACATCATGAGCCTTTGTACCAGATGTATTGCAGACTTCAGAAATGTCATTATGCCAAACTCCATGCCAGATATCAGTGTCTGGTTGCATGAGTGCCCCTACCCACTTTGATAGGTTGTCTGTTATACGTGGTCGAAGTTGATTTGTATGTCTCCGTGTGTAACATCCATCAGAGGTTAAAACTTTATAGTGCGCCGGCCCCAGAACTTCCTTTATTACTGCTTCTTTCCAACGATTCTCCTGATGATATACACGCGACCAAACAGAATCCCCTGTCTGGTAACAACGGCCTGCTTTTCCGACTTGCATCTTCGATTGTTGCTGGAAGACCCTTTGTTGAATCTTTGGTTTTAGCATATCCAACTTTGTCCTGAGTTCACGGCCTAACATAAGGCATGCTGGAGGTTGTCCAGTGGTTGGATGAGGTGTATTTTGATACTGTAGAAGGAACTCAGACAAATTATGTTTAGGTCTCTTTCCTTCTGCTTTCAGACTTGACCTTCTCATCTGTTGTATGCAGCCCATGTTTGTCAATTACATGAGCACAAAATTCAAGACGATCCTTCATAAACTGGCATTTATCCAAATTTACCTTCAATCCATATTCCATAAGTCTTTGCAAAACTGCCTCTACATTCTGTTTATGTTCCTCCTCTGATTTACCCATGACCAGCATGTCATCTAACATGCACTGTGTCCTAGGAATTTCAGCTTGTCCATTGTTCGCTGCCAGACAGCTGGTGCAGGTGAAATGCCAAAAACCATACGGTGATACCTGAATAGCCCCCGATAGGTATTAATTGTAAGTAGTGGTCGAGAATCTGGATGTACAGATAACTCTAGGTATGCATTTTTCAAGTCAATCTTGGTGAATTGCTGGCCACCTGCCAATGATGCAAAAATATCATCTTCCCTAGGCAGGGGATACTTATCTATTTTAAGTTGTGTGTTAAGGGCCATGTGGAAATACCCACAAATCCGTATGTCCCCATTTTATTTTCTCACAAGAACAATGGGCGAAGCCCACTCACTATTGTGAACCCGGGAGATGATATTCAGCTCCTCTAATCTCCTCAATTATGCCTCCACTCCAGCTCTTAGTGCAAATGGCACACTTCTTGCTTTAAACAATATCGGTGTTGCTCTTTCCGTTAATTCTAAGAAAACTTGTCTCTTTACAGTCCCTAATTGGCCATCAAACACTGGTGCATACTTTTCCTGTAATTCCCTATTCCAGTCAAGTCTGGTCTGATTTTCATTCAACACATGACATGGATACTTCTGCACTTGAGGCATCCCAAGAGCCCTTATCCACTCCCTATCAAAAAGTGGAGGTCCTCCATTCTCTAAGATATAGAGAGGTAGTTTTTTCTTACACTTGTTGAATGTAACTGTGACTGTCACACAGCCCACTGGTATTAACAACTCTTTAGAATATGTTTGCAGTCTTGCTTTTGTCTGAATTATTGGCCTATGGATTTTAAGGCGTTTCCAATCTGTCAAAGAAATCACTGATACAGCTGCACCTGTGTCAAAATCCATAGTCCGTTCCTTTCCATTTACAACAACCTGAACTGTGAATGCAGCCAGATTAGAACCTATTTTATATATTTTAAAATTTCGGACAGGAAATTGTTCATCCGAATCCTCAGAAGACTCCTGCATTTGTACTCTATAGGCATTCTTTGCTCTGTCTCATGCGATTACTGCCTCTCTCTGCTGTGGATTTACACACTCTTTGTAGGTGGCCCATTTTACCACAAGCATGACACTTGGCATTCTTAAATCTGCATGTAGTTGCAACATGTGTAGCAGCTCCGCAGCGATAACATTTGTAATGTGAATGTTACTGTTTTGAAAGTCTCTTTCCCTGTGGTACACTCTGTGCTCTAGCATCTAATTTTAAAACTTCTATCTCTGCCTCCTGTGTGTTGTCCAGTCTGCTGTGTAATAGATTAGCATCCTTAGAGGCTTGTTCTATAATGCTTGCCATGTTCATTCTTTTTTAAACATTACATCTTCTTCTTTAAGCAGTCTCATTAGCACTGCATCACTTGCAATGCCCATTACAAACTTGTCTCGCAGAGCAGTGGGCAGGTAGTCCCCAAAACAGCAGGTGCTGGCGAGTTTCCTTAATGCAATGACATATGCTGAAACTGATTCACCGGGCTCTCGTCTTCTTTTATAGAATTTAAATCTCTCTGCTATCTCTAGTGGTTTTGGTTGGAAACGGCTAGTTAACAGAGTAATCGGGCTTGCCAATGGCTTGCTGGCAGGTTTCTCTGGGTGTAAGAGGCTCCTTAGCATTTCATACGTTCTGGCTCCTATAACTGTTAGAAAAACAGCGACCTGTTTATTGTCAGGAATGTCATTAGCTGTGAAATATTGTTCAAGCCTTTCAACCCAAGAGGCCCATAAATCCGAGTCAGGATCAAAGTCCTTTTGTTCTACAGCTTCGTCGCCACTGTGATGTTTTGTACAAATCAGCCAATAATTCCTGTATAACGAAGTACTCACTTTATTAATACATATATAACAGGATCTTCATATTGCAACCTTGTTACACAGGGTTTCAAATCCCTTGAACATTCCACCAACTGCCAACAGGAACAGGAAGTAAAGAACCACAAGAAAGGAAGTGCATCATTCA